AAAAGATTAATTGTCATCTCTCATCTTTCCTTTTTTCTGATATAACTAGTGTATTATTGTTACATGCTTATACTATCAGTAGGGTAAAAATGGGTGTTCTGGCACAGTGGTATTCATTTTGCATATCAAATCACCCCGCCATATACCAAAGAGCATATCATTTTTCATACATCTAGAATACATTATTTTACCCAAATTCATATCAAAAAGGATAACAATTTTTATCACTAATCATTTTACTATCAATACACCCCGCAAAACATCAAATAGCATATCATTTTTTTTGAATATCTAGACCACATTCTTTCACCCAAATTAATATCAAAAAGGATACCAATATTATTTGATATAGTAGAATTCAATCTAAAGCCGATTATTCACTACTTTTCTGGCACAAAAAATGTGACCATACACCTCAAAGGGTAACAAAAAATGCGACCATATACCATAAAGGGTAACAAAATTTCATACCATATATACCAAAGGGTAACAAAAAATGTGTCCATAGGTAACAAAATTTCGTATTATATATCAAAGGGTAACAAAATTTGGGCCAGGTTTTTTATTGCAGAGCAATGGCTCGAAGTGCCTTCACTTATCAAGGTTCTATCAACTCACATATTGTTATCAAACCTGAAAACTAAGTTCATGATTTTCGTCATTATTTTCTGAGGAACAATGAATACAATGATTAAATCCATCTTTGATTAAACAGTGATTTATACAGCATCCAGAATTATTGAGTCTATGAGGATCTACCCAGTTGTCTGCATTAGCACGTAATCTATTATAGTACTGGATCACATAATACCCCCTAATATGCAATGGACATCGGCCAGAAGATGAACCAGTTGGCTTTCCACAATCAGTACAAGGTACTCTTCTTTTAGCTTTCCAATGATAACTACACCCTTCAGATCTCATACAAGTTCTTCCACAAACTTCACCGGAATTATGATAGAATGGACAAGTATATTCACCAATCATTTTTTTTTATATATAGTGAAATAATTATTTAAACAAAAACTTTTATATTATTAATATATAAAACTTTAGATAATCAAAACATAACACATATTCAAATGTCAACTACTATTCAAAATATCGATCAAGTATCTATTGCAAAGCAATGTCTCTCTGAGACTACAGATGCTAAGTCCTCTATTCCAACCTGGCAAGATATTGAAAAAGCTATAGTTAATATAGTAAAAGCAGGTGTCTATTATAAAAAAGAAAAGGATGGCAAGTTTATGCAAAATTATAAAAAGCGATATACTGAATTACATCAAGCTGAAGATCCAGATATTTATATCTTGAACAATGCAAAGAGAATATACCCTAATGAGGATAAATATATATCAATGAAAAGTCAATATCAGGAATGGTATAAAAATGAACCAAAAATTCTTCAAGCTGTATCAAAACTTAGTGATTTATATTATCAATTAGCCAAAAACCACTTTGCTACTAATGAAGAAATCGAAGAAGAAGCAGGTGATTTCCTTAACTCTTGAGTATTCTCTGAGGCGGGTATTCAACATTCTTGACAACCATCAATTCTTCTCGAACAAAAGACCGCTTTGGACCATTCCCATCAATATCTTCAATCCAGTACAAGACTGGTTGATTTTTTTGTAGCAAAGATTCCTTGATATGATATATTTGAGGTGACCAATTACAATCAGTAGCTCTTTTTCTACCGCCCTCCAATTCACCAGGTTGAAGTAAATATAAAACAGAATCATTATATGTCAATCGAACTTCATCAAAACCTATAGGACCATATCTTGGCTTTGAGGCTTTAGCATATACAAATTTCTTTTTAATAGCTTCATTAGGTATTATACCAAGAAGTCGAGTTACAGTGTTATTAAGATCCTTGATAATAATAGGAAGATTCTTAACCCAAGCTCTAGATCTTTTAGGTAAAGGTAACAATAACTCATGTGCATCTTGAATCCGAAATAATTTCTCAGCTAATGTTCGATTAAATCTTTCAATAATACCCATACTACTCTTTGAATTAGCTTTCTGAATTTTCACATCATGCTCTTTCATAAGCTTTTCACAACTTCCTTTAAACTCAGATCCCATATCAGTTAACAATAATTTAGGCCAAGTAAGAGGACACTGAGGATCATTGAACATTTTCTCGAAACATTCTGCAACCACAGCCGATGTTAAGATACCTTCCAGAGAAAAGTCATCATCATCCATATTTAAAATATCTAATGTGGTTCCAATAGGCACAGCCCACTTAAAACGTGAAGCTACATCTACAACAGTAAGACAAAATAAATAAGTAATTTTATCGATTTTATCCCATGGCATATACATAATATCAGCTTGAAGAACTTCATTTGGAATGGTAATTTTATTAAATGATGCGCACGGAATATATTTGGGTCGAGCTTTATGAATCAAGTATAATAATTGTCTATGCAACCAATTGCGAATTTCAATTATGGTAAAATCATATCCAGCTTTCAAAGATGCTTTAAAAAGATTTTGTGCAGTTCTTTGATAACCAGAAGGTTGATAATATAATTTTCTAAGAGCAATACCAATATCAAGTTCACGAACTTTTTTAGTATCAATAAAAATAACAGGGATCATTCTTTACTATAATGTTTTAGCAAAGTCAGGAGATATATTATACAATAAAAAAATAACCATGTCATTTCATCGACCACATCCTAAGAGAATATCTCATGAACCAGTATCTAATCGAGAATTGGAATTGGAGCAGGTAAATCAAGCTTTAAGAGATGAGTTATCTAACGAAGTTTCAATCAATAAGTCGAATGAGAAATACATAAATGAGATAGAGCGCAAATATATCAGATGTGTGAAAGAAATCAAATCTCTCAATAAAGAACTGGAACAGCTCGAGAATGCTTCGGAGGAAGAAAAGGCAGAGTTGAGAGCAGAAATCTCCAACCTTAATAAACAACTCTCATATAGCAAAAAAGAAATCCGAGATAAGATATCCCATATTGATAATATAGAGAGGCAGTTACAAGAATCAGAAGAGCGGGTTCAAAATCTAAGGCTTAGATTCAAAATTATTTCTTCAAGAAGAAGCTCTCCTATCTTATATAATTCAGAAGAAGATACAGATATGGCACATATAGACCCCTTTATAAATATCACTAGAGGATTAAATCGACTTGAAAACCATTTCACGGGGGGTACACCATTAATTAATCCTGCCAATATCATCCAAGGTATGTACGGTACTTTAAATACTATTCGGGCTAATTATCAAAGAATAGACCAGGATTTAGATGATATTTCAAATCAACGAGATGCTCGAGATGCTCAAATAACCCAGCTACAACAAGATGTCAATTATTTTAGACAACAAAATACTAATCTCCAGAATCAAATCAATCAACTTACACTAGAGCGTAACAATTCTCAGAATGATCTTGCTTTGATGACTACAGCTTATTATAATGAAAGGGAAGAACGTCAACATTGGTGGAGGGTAGCTAAACAATTGGAAAAAGGAATGCAGATGCGGATTAATACTTTATTACTTGATAAGCTTGCACTTAATTTTAAACTCCGGAGGTGTCAAAGACATGGTAGAGAATTACAACAGGGGCTACAACAATGCCAGGCAGATAAAGGATTATTAGAATATAATCGAGATCGAATCTTTGATAGATATTACAATAAATTCAAGGATCGAAAGGCGAGTCATATCAAATGGAAAAATAGGGAGCGTAATTCACAGCAATTAATTTTGAATTTAAATCAACAAATTTTTGCGCTTCAGAATAATCAACCTATAAATAATCCAAACATGGCAGAAGATAGACGTTTACCAATATTAAAATTAATGGCTCCCGCTCTTGCAAAATTTCAACCTTACATAGGTCGAGAACCACCTGATGAATACATGGATAGGGTTATTCAATCATGGGCATATCTTGAAGGGCATATGACAGTTCTTGAAAATGCAAATGCGGGGGATTTTGATGATGAAGTCAAGTGTAATATTTTGAAATCTATGATGGGTGGAAAATATGCTCCTGTGCCTGCTAACGATCCATATACTAATAATAATCTGGCTATAAATACTCCAGATACATTACGAGCTTGGATGAGAGCAAAATACCAGCGGGAGACAGTTGGAAATCAGCAATCAGCTATTCAAAGATTGACTCAAGAAAAATATCAACCTTATGATACTCCTGACACCTATGAAGTTAGAATTCGTCCACTAATATTAGGAGTGGCAGACAATGATGCGCAAGTTTTAGGATTTCTAAAAAGTCATTTAACAGGCGATTTTTATACTTGGATGAGAATTGCTAATCCAGGGGGCATTAATGCATTTTTCACCGAACTAAAAAATATGTGGTTAGAATGTAGACCTAATTTGAATGAAGGATCAATTTCCAATCAGGTTTCTGTCATTAATATACCACCTGTATTTTCTCAGCTAGAAACTGATTCACACCAATTACAAAATAAATTAAATTCAGATAATGATAGTATACGAGCTGAAATAAAAAGCATGATAAAATCAGAATTAGCTTTAGTACCAACCCCTCCTCAGTCTACACAATCAACTTCTCAAAGACATGAAGGGCAATTATTACGGCCCAGTCAAATGGAACCAGGTAAAATATATCGGGATCCACATTTACGCTTGAATGATCAAGAATGGCTTCGAATGGATGATGCAACAGATCGTCTTAGTGCTTTAGCAGGTCCATCTTATCTACAAACTTTCATGGATACAATTAGTAAAGGAGTAATGGATAGAATCACGCCTTTCTTACCAAATAAGAAAAATAATACTCCTAATAATGATGATATGGATGAAATTACTAAGGGTATGTCAGAATTATCAATAAATAAGGCTATAGCCAAAGGTATATCACAGGGAATAAAAGCGGTACATGATAATAATGTATCATCTCAGCATAGATGTTCGAATTGTTATAGTCTTGGACATAATTCTCGCAAGTGTCCATATCCTCAAAAAGGAACAGAAAAAATAGAAAGAGTAGATCCAAAAAGAGAGGCAGTGTTAATAATAAGGATACCGGCTGCAACTTTTGATGATGGTTGCTACCACCTTTGCGTCATATAAAAATGATTGCAACCACTGGT